GATGATGTCCTGGATGGCCTCAGATGTTGTGCCCTGGCCCCCAATGTCTGGAGTGTGCATCTGTAGGAGACAGGCAGGCTCGGCACACGCCAGACTCTGTCACCCCTGCCGCGGGCTACCTGCTATCTCCTGTGGCTTGTAGAGGCTGGGACTGCCACCAGGAGGGCAGTGGCACCAGCTAAGGCCCAGAGGCCCTACCAGACCCAGTACCACCCTCCCCTGAGGACCGTGGTCAGTGTGAGAGGTGGGCTACAGGATGCTGCAGAGGGAGGCTGGAGGGGGAGGGCAGCAGGGCAGGGGGTGAGGGGAGCCTCACATTCTCATTGTCCATGGACGCCAGGACAGCCTTACGGATGGAGGTGGCGTAGGAGTGCAGCATGAGGTGGTCCAGCATCATGCAGCTGGCCAGCAGGGTGGCTGTGGGGTTGGCGATGTTCTTGTTGGCGATACTCTTGCCAGTGTTCCTCGTAGCCTGGAAGAGGCAGGACGGAGAGTGGGTGGAAGGTGCAAGGATGTGGGGTGGTGACAAAAGCCCGTCAGTGGGTGCCAGGGGCTGGGGTGCGTGTGAGGACAGACAGCTCATGTGGGGTGGTGATGCTGAATCATGCGCCTCTGTGAGTCTGCAGACAGATCGATGCCGCCCCAGCACTCACCGTTTCGAACACTGCGTACACATGGCCATAGTTGGCCCCAGCCACAAGGCCTGGGCCTCCGACCAATCCCGCGCAGACGTTGTTGACAATGTTGCCATAGAGATTGGGCATCACCATGACATCAAATTGCTGGGGCCGGGACACCAGCTGCAGGTCAAGGAGGGGGCTGGCTGAGGGGCAGAGTCGGGAGCACGGGTGCAAGAAGCCCAGGGCACCCAGGGCAGGGGATGGCACTGGGCGGGCTAGTACCTGCATGGTGGTGTTGTCCACAATCATGTTCTCAAAGGTGATCTGGGGGTAGCCAGCTGCCACCTCCCTGCAGCACTGCAGGAAGAGCCCATCGCCCAGTTTCCTGGTGGGGGGTTAGGAGCAGGACACCAGTTCGGCCATCGCAACAGTCAGCCGGAGGGAAGGGGTGTGCAGAGGGCCCCGAAGACTGGGGTCTGACTTCTAACCTGTCCCTTACCAGCAAAACGGACATAATCCCACTCCACTTCCCCTAAATGTCGCCTCTGGTGAGACCTTGGGGACAATGGGGCACACGCCTTCAGTGGCCCCTCGGTGGGTGGCTGGGCTTTAGGACCACAGATCCCTGAGAGCAGGCCCAAGCAGACCACTGCAGAGCAGTCGGGGGACAGGGGACATACATGATGTTGGCCTTGTGCACAGCCGTCACTTTCTTGCGCCC